GTGTGTGTGTGTGTGTGTGTGTGTGTGTGTGTGTGTTTTCACCTCGCGTCTGTGTTGCTGGGGGTGACTGGTGTTCTCGGTGTTCATTTTCCATCCTGCTCTCCGGTTTTGCTTGTCGCTCTGCGGCCGTCCTCTGTTGCTGTCTTTGTCTCAGTGGATTTCTCCTGGAGCGTGTCTAGCCTCCTTTCCCTCAGAATCTGCTGTCTTTCTCCGGGAGGCTGTCTCCTTAACTGCCCACGGGATTTGGATGCCAGTTTTAGCCTCTGACTTCCCCCTCTGAGCTCCCAGACCCCTACTTCCTGGGTTCCCTAAGCCCCGCCCCTTACCTTTGGGCCCCCTGGCTCCTCCCTCCTGGGCTCCACCCCTCACCTCTGGGTTCCCTGGGCCCTCCCTCCTGGGTTCCCTGGCTCCACCGGTCACCTCTGGGCTCCCAGGCCCTGACCCTCCTCCCTTTTGGTTCCCCGGTTCTGCCAGTCGCTTGGTTTTCCAGCCTCAGGCCTCCCTCTCTTAAGCCCCACCCCCAAACCTTTCGTGTGTGTCTCATTTAGGAACGGGGGTGGCCGCAGTGGCACCTTCTGCGCCTGCGCCACAGTCCTGGAGATGATCCGCTGCCACAACCTGGTGGACGTTTTCTTTGCTGCCAAAACGCTTAGGAACTACAAGCCCAATATGGTGGAAACCCTGGTGAGAGGCCGCGTCTCCCTGCCCAACCGCTTCCAACTTCCCGGTCCATGCCAAGCTAGGTCCCTCTGTACCCACTGCCCTCTGTGTGGTTCCCGCCACCGGGCTGTGGGTCCTGATCTGGTGGTGCCAAAACAGGGATCCACGTTTGCCCCCCTCTCCCCTCGAGATGGGCCAGGGCTCGTGCTCACCCTCTTGTCTCCCACTCCCCCCTTCCCCAGTACCAAAGAGGGACCAGGCTCATGATTCCTTCTCTCCCTCTCCCCAGGATCAGTACCACTTTTGCTATGATGTGGCCCTGGAGTACCTGGAGGGGCTGGAGTCAAGATAGCGGGGCCCCTGGCCTGGGGCACCCACTGTGCACTCAGAGCCAGGCCCAGCACTGATGAGGAAGACCTGGACCCCTAACTCTGCGCCGCTACAGCTCCCCCGGGGGACGGCACTAGAGTGGGCGCCGGGCCATCTCGGTGCCCCTTCCACGGTGCCCGGGGCCTCTCACCATGTCCGATGGGCAGGCTGGGGGCCAAGGAGAGGCTTAGCGAGACTGCAGCCCGGCCTACCTCCATAGGTTCCTGCAGGTCTGCGCCGTGTATCTGGCACTGCCTGGTAGAGTGACAGGCGCTCAGAGTTGCCAGCTCGGGAGGACCCAGGCTCAAGCCCCTCGACTCCAGGCTCAAGCCCCTTGACTCTGTCCCAGCCCTTGGCAGAGATGAGTAAGGCCCTGTGGGGCCTGTGCGTGGCCAGTTTCCACCCGGCGTGGCTTCCTCTGGATATGGATGGAGAGTTCACTGGGGCTTGGCATCTGGACTCCCATCTGGCCTGGCCCCTGAGGGTCCTGGGTAGACTGGGCACATCAGACTGGTCCTCTCTGGAGGGGACAATAGCCCCCTCCTCCACCCTGCTGCCCCCCCTACAGCCCCGGGGCTGTTTTGCTCATGATCCCTCCCACTATTCTTTGACGTGTGCTCTGAGCTTCCTCGAACCGAGATCTGCCCATCCTTACCCTGTTCCCTGTGGGGCCCCTTCCCTGCCTGACCCAATGCCTGCAGAATGAAGGCACCTCAGCCCTTCTTCCTATAACTTTCAAGCCTCACTGGTGGGAACTCCTCAGCCTAGGCCGTGATAATCTGCAAGGTTGAACGACAGCCCTTGGGGTTGAGGTCTCTGTGGCTCCTGGTGAGGCTGCCCACTGGGGACGGGTCACTGCTAGATCAGGGGTGCTTGCAGCGTCTACGGTTCAGAGGAAGAAGGTGTATTTTGGGATGAAGGAGCGATTCTTTCTTGTTAATTTCATTATTTTTTGATGGGTGGGTGGGAAAAATCTCTTTAAAATGGGGCAGGCCACACCCCCATTCCGTGCCTCAATTTCCCCATCTGTAAACTGTAGATACGACTACTGACCTACCTCGCAGGGGGCTGTGGGGAGGCATAAGCTGATGTTTGTAAAGCGCTTTGTAAATAAATGTGCTCTCTGAATGCCACAGAGGAGCCTTGTGTGTGTCTGGCCACCCTGAGTGGAGCCTGCTCGCCTGCCCCCAGCCTCCTAGTACAGTGGGAGGGCTCTGGGCTGGGAGGCAGAAGCTTGGGTCCGGTCAGGCCCTGATTTTTCCATTCATCAAATGGTGGGGGTGTGGACCAGAGCATCGCTCAGGGGTCTTCTACTTGTAGGGGCAGGTTCCAGAGAACTCTTGGCTATTGCTTCAGGCCTCTGAAGCAGCTCCTTAGGCAGTGGGCTTTATCCTGAGACCCCTGAGGGCCACAGAGCTGCCTCTCACCTCTGGGGGCTGGATCTGGGGTTGAGCTCTTTTGAAGACATCATGGGAGGCTCAGGCTTTGGTATCAGGTGGATGGGCTTCACCAGCTGCAAGACCCTGGCTAAGTCAGTTGCCCTCCCTGGGCCTTGGTTCCCATCTGTAAAATGGGAATGATGCCGATAAGATCAGAAGTCATGATTAAGTGCCTTGCATGGTGCCATGGGTGCTGAAAGGGCTCTGATTACGAACACACAAGAGGGGCAGATGCACCCTGCTTAATGATGATCATCCCAGGCATTCCCAGCCTTGGGCTTCTGCTAGATGGGGAGGGGAGTGGAGGAGGAGTGGGCTAGCTGGTAGGGATCCCAGTCACTCCTGGCTCTGTCATAAACTTGTGTCAGCTTGGGCAAGACATTTCATGTTCCTGGACCTCAGTATCTTCATATGGAAACTGGTTCTATGATGTACTGATTCCGTTTTCACACTGGCTTACTCTCTCTGCCTCAGTTTCTCCATTGGCCAGAGAATACAACCTATAACAATGGCTCCAGGACCCAACATCTCTTCATCTGAACTAAGAATTTATTATGATCCCCCTTAGCTAGGGTACATGCCCCCCCCCTCCCCCCCGCTCCCCACACTCATTCTGAACTGACTGCTAAGCCTTACCTGATGAATGACAAATGTACTGACAAACGCATGTCAGACACTGGCCAAGCAATAGAATGTGACTTGCTTTGACCAATAGAAATGGCAGAAGTGATGGCAAGTGAGTTCTGGGTCTCAAGCCTCAAGGGGCGACTGCAGCTTTTGCTTTTGCCCTCTTGGAACTCTGCCATGTGAGGAAGCCTGCCTAGCCTCCTGGAAGGTTTGAGGGCACATGGAAAGGAACCAACAGAACACATCCCATGAATGGCCAGTACCAACTACGAGACCTGCGGATGGGGCCATCTTGGGCCTTCCAGCCTGGCTGACCTCTCAGGTGAGTATTGCCACGTGACTAACCTGAGCAGAAACTGTCCAACCAACCCCCAGAACTGGAAAAGATAACATAAATTGTCCTTTCTTTTAAGCCAGAGTGTGAGGATTGTTAATGCAGCAAAAGCTAACTGATACGTATGTGTTCTGGGCAGGGTAGATGGCAGCTTGAAGTGTTTCTGCATTCTTCCTGTTAACATCCATTGCCCCGCAAAGGGCTGGTCTTCTAGCTGGCGCTCTAGAAATGTTGGTGTGACAGAGGGAAGGAAGGAGTAAGTGCCTGTTTGACCATTGGCTTTTCAGAGGAACTGGGAAGACAGGTTGTATATTAGGAGGAGCGCCGGCTTCATAATAAATAAACCAAGGTCCCTGACTGGTAAAAGCCGGCCAGCATTATCTCCTACTTAATCTGTACAACAGCTCGGGAACCCGTGCTGTGCTGACTCCAAAAGCCCGGGCCTCTGACGCTCTGCTCTGTGGCCGGTCTGGGTGGCGTGGAAAGCCAGGGGATCCCCTGATGCAACACCAAATGGCCAATGTGTGGCCTGGGAGCTGATTTTCCCGTGCTCTGAAATGTGTCTGAGGTGGGGGCCTCTCGGACAAGGCAGCCTGTAGCACGAGAGGACGGAAGGTCAGGCCTGGCTCTGCCCCGGGGCCGCAGGCCTTGCAGGTGTGGGGTAGGAGCCCCCGCCCTCCCAGATCCCCGCAGAAAGGGTTTCTAGAAGTGCAGACGGGCCGGCTGTCTAATAGTGCCAGAGCTGAGTTTGCTTTTTTATGTCCTAATCAATCTGGCCGTGGGAGCCGGCCCAGGCAGCGATTACTTCTCAAGACCTCTCTGCCGGCCCCTGAGTGGGACATGTTATACATCCCGGGCACCCAGA